TTTTCGGTCATATTTAATAATATATGTCTACAGGAAAGACTGCTACCAAAATATACTAATATATATATATATATATATATATATATATATATATATATATATATATATATATATATATATATATATATATATATATATATATATATATATATATATATATATATATATATATATATATATATATATATATATATATATATATATATATATATATATATATATATATATATATATATATATATATATAGGTACGACATATATATATATATATATATATATATATATATATATATATATATATATATATATATATTATATATATATATGTCGTACCTAGTAGCCAGAACTCACTTTTTGGCCTACTATTCAAGGCCCGATTTGCCTAATAAGCCAAGTTTTCCTGAATTAATATATTTTTTCTAATTTTTTTCTTATGAAATGATAAAGCTACCCATTTCATTATGTATGAGGTCAATTTTTTTTTATTGGAGTTAAAATTAACGTAGATATATGACCGAACCTAACCAACCCTACCTAACCTATCTTTCTAGGTTAGGTTTTGTTAGGTAGCCGAAAAAGTTAGGTTAGGTTAGGTTAGGTAGGTTAGGTAGTCGAAAAACAATTAATTCATGAAAACTTGGCTTATTAGGCAAATCGGGCCTTGCATAGTAGGCTGAGAAGTGCGTTCTGGCTACTAGGTACGACATATATAAATATATATATATATATATATATATATATATATATATATATATATATATATATATATATATATATATATATATATATATATATATATATATATATATATATATATATATGTCGTACCTAGTAGCCAGAATGCACTTCTCAGCCTACTATGCAATGCCCGATTTGCCTAATAAGCCAAGTTTTCCTCAATTAATATATTTTCTCTAATTTTTTTCTAATGGAATGATAAAGCTACCCATTTCATTATGTATGAGGTCAATTTTTTTTTATTGAAGTTAAAATTAACGTAGATATATGCCCAAACCCAACCAACCTAACCTAACCTATCTTTATAGGTTAGGTTAGGTAGCCGAAAAGGTTAGGTTAGGTTAGGTTAGGTAGGTTAGGTAGTCGAAAAACAATTAATTTATGAAAACTTGGCTTATTAGGCAAATTGGGTCTTGCATAGTAGGCTGAGAAGTGCGTTCTGGCTATTAGGTACGATATATATATACCTAGTAGCCAGAACGCACTTCTCAGCCTACTATGCAAGGCCCGATTTGCCTAATATGCCAAGTTTTCATGAAATAATTGTTTTTCGACTACCTAACCTACCTAACCTAACCTAACCTAACTTTTTCGGCTACCCAACCTAACCTAACCTATAAAGATAGGTTAGGTAGGGTTGGTTAGGTTCGGTCATATATCTACGTTAATTTTAACTTCAATAAAAAAAAATTGACCTCATACATAATGAAATGGGTAGCTTTATCATTTCATAAGAAAAAAATACAGAAAATGTATTAATTCATGAAAACTTGGCTTATTAGGCAAATCGGGCCTTGCATAGTAGGCAGAGAAGTGCGTTCTGGCTACTAGGTACGACATATATAAATATATGTATATATATATTTATGTATATATATATATATATATATATATTATAAATAATATAATATATATATATATATATTATAAATATATATATATATATATATATATATATATATATATATATATATATATATATATATATATATATATGACTAAGTTAATTCCCCAAATTAGAAATCTTTCATATGAAGAAAGATTAACAAAGCTTAAGTTGCATTCACTGGAAAGGCGAAGAGTTAGGGGTGACATGATAGAGGTTTACAAGTGGATGAATGGACATAACAAAGGGGATATTATTAGGGTATTAAAAGTATCAACACAAGACAGAACAGAAAACAATGGGTATAAATTGGATAAGTTTAGATTTAGGAAAGACTTGGGTAAATACTGGTTCAGTAACAGGGTTGTTGATTTGTGAAACCAGTTGCCGCGTAACGTGGTGGAGGTGGGGTACCTCGATTGTTTCAAGCATGGGTTGGACATGTATATGAGTGAGATTGGGTGGTTATAAATAGGAGCTGCCTCGTATGGGCCAATAGGCCTTCTGCAGTTACCTTTGTTCTTATGTTCTTAAAAAGATAGCAAATTTGTTAAACATGAACGGCCATTTGTAAAACCATATTGCGACTCATTTATTAATTTGTGTTTTTCAAGATGAAGACGAATTTTATTTGCAATTATCGATTCAAGTAACTTTCCCACGCTATACGCTAGGCTAATTGGTCGATAGTTAGACGCAAGTGATCTCCTTTCTTAAAAATTGGTATCACATTAGCAACTCTAACTAATAGCTTCCATAACTCTAGCACTTTGCCTAACTCTATTGATTTATTAAATATGGTAGACAGTGGATCGGAAAGCTCTTTAGTAAATACAGATATAAAATATTTTTTAAAATTACTAAAATTACATCTCTTCATCATTATCTGTTATTTGATCTGTGTCAGTTTTTAATGGACCTATCCTTTCCCTAATCTATGTCCGGTATACCTGGAAAAATCCTTTAGGATTTGTCTATGCTTGCTCTGCTATGCGAACTTCATAGTTTCTTTTTGCTTTCCTTATCTCTCCTTTAGTATTTCTAACCAGTTGTATGAATTCCTGTTCTAAACTGACTTCCCCATTCCTAATCCTTTTGTACCACATTATCTTTTTACCTATAAGGTTCTTCAGATCCTTTGTTATCCACTTTGGATCATTAGTATTCGATCTTGTTACGGCCCTATTGGGTCGCAACTGGGGTTCTTCTCTGATGTTATTGGAGTTTGGGTATCCGGCCCCAAGTTAGTAGTGGCTTTCAAGGGGTGTGTTCCGTAACGCAAGTGAAATTAAAGGGGAAGGGATACAAATACACTAATTTAAATATATATATTAACCACCACCATAAATATCTCACAGTCACTCGCTGGGGCTGTAACTACACTTATATACAATAACTTGTCTTCCTCCGAAGACACAGGATGCTCTACGGTGCTCAAGATGAGTAGCCCTGGTTCTCTTCTCGTGGCCTCATGATGAATCCTTTGATTCTCTAGGATTTATCTACCCTGGCAACAGGCCAGCCCAATCACAGTCCCACTGGATGCACCGTCGTGGAGGCCTTCAACCACAAATCCTGCCTGTAGCTGGCAGGATCCAATCAGCTCCGCCGCGTAGCAACGGAGCTGATTGACAGCTCCGTTGATTGATCAACGGAGCAACGTAGACAGCAACGCCACTCCATAGATGGCGTTGCTGTCTAAGCGTCACCTCACCAGAGGTCAGCAGCTGATTAAGACGGGAAACCAGCCCCTATATATATCGGTATATCCCGCCCTCGCTAGATGGCGTCGTCCATTTGGAGGGGGTTTCGGGAGCTGACCCACAGATGGCGTTGTCGTCACTGCTCCGTGCTCGGATGCTGGACTCGGGTGTGTAACAGATCTATTCAATTTATATGGTATACTACGTTCCTGGGCTTTGCTTAGAATATTTTTAAATAGGTTATATTTTGAATCCACATCGAAAAACCCTTTTACGTCACCTATCGCTGGGTTCACGTCTAGCTCCAAGACCGGCCCACACCCCATACCCAAGACTTTCCAATCTATTTCACCCAATAAATTTCTTAGGTTATTGAAATTAGCTTTTCGAAAATCAGGTACTTTAACATAATTTTCTCCTACAGATCTATTCCATTCTATGCTAAATCTGATTTCTTTATGATCACTGTTCCCTAGCTCACTCCCTATTTCGATGTCCTTAATTTGAGTTTCCCTGTTAGTTAACACTAAATCTAAAATATTATTTTCCCGCGTTGGTTACTTTACGTGTTGCGTAAGAAAGCAATCGTCAATTAATTCTAGAAAATCTTCTGCTTTGACTCACATTGTTCAAGTAATATATGACTAATTGAATTTTTATTTTGAGGCAATTCTCTTTCCAGGTTCATTTGCCAATTTGTTTTGCTCATAAACTCATATATTTATTACCTCCTATCTCCATATCAATTCCCTATCACTATCTAGTAACTATTTAAACCTAAACAACCCTATGACAATGTTCCAATGAGGTTCCAATGAGCACGCAACAGCAACCCCAGCCCTAGATAGATGCACACATGTCTTTCCTTCCATAGATGTTTCCTGTTATCCATTTGATTTGCAATATTTGTCCAGTCGGCAAGTGCCTTCGACAATCATTCATTTTTAACTCGATCTCTTGGAAGAATGCCACTTATGATAAGGATTCCTTTGCTTCTAACTAATTCTGTAGCTGTCTTAAACCTCTGTATCAACGTCTTACTCCTAACTCGTCAAACATTATTTCCACCGGCACTGATACAGATAATGGGTTTGTTCCCATTTCCAGTCATAATATCATTCATGTTGTTAACAATATCACCAATTCAAGCTCCTGGATAGCAAACACTTAACTTGTTCCTCCTATCTCTGGCACAAAAGTTCTATCCAAATAGTTCACTTGAAGTTTCATGTGATCTTATTAGTTTTCTCTTTATTTTGTTACAGTATTTTTTGGCAGTTAAAAGGTAAGTCATCATAAAATCCATTTTGAGTGCTTAATTTTGAGGATTAAATTTCCTTAGCAATATTTAACCTAAATTAAGGTTAAATTTAAGGACCTATATTTTAAGTCTTAAATTTAACCTGTTTTCATAGATTTATCTACCAATCATAGATTTATCATAGAAACAATACCACCAAGAGTAGGAAGAAAAAAGAAGCTTTGATAGTGGGATAAAAATTTTATTACTTACACCAATAAAATACATATTATGTTCTAGTAATTATAAACAATTTGCAATAAAATAAAATCTATTTCACTCGAAATTATGAGAATTTCTTATCATAAACTGACCAAACTTGTTTGCATAATCCTGTGTGTTTTCATAGCTCCAAGTTGAATGAATCTTTTTCTCAGTCTTGAAATTTTTCTCTAGTATGCACTCTTCGGTGGCTCTTCAAATGTCCGTTTCGAAAGAATTTTTTACAACACTCTAGACACTCGTAAGGTTTCTCACCAGAATGCTCTATTATGTGCCTAACTATATGGCTACGATACCTGAAACTTTTTCCACACTCATCACACTTGAAAGGTTTTTCTCCAGTATGCATTAACATGTGATCATTTAGACTGCTACGACTACTCAAATTTTTCCCACACACATTACACCTATGAGGCTTTTCACCCGTGTGCACCATCATGTGTTTCTTCATAGTTCCAAGTGCACCGATTTTTTTCCCACACTCTGGACACTCGGGTTTATCTCTCGTATGCACAATTCTGTGTTTCTTCAAAAGGTCATATCGAGAGAATCTTTTCCCACACTCTGAACACTCGTGGGATTTCTCACCAGAGTGTACTAACAAGTGCCTAATTATATTTCGACGGGTACTGAAATTCTTTCCACAAACATCACAGCTAAAGGGCTTTTCACCTTTGTGCATCATTTTGTGTTTCTTTAAATTTTTTATTCGGCTGAACGTTTCTCCGCACTCAAAACACTCATATGATTTACTACCCAAATTTGCCCTCTTGAGTTTTTTCAGAGTTCCAGTTTGGCAGAAACTTTCACCATATTCGAGACAAGTGCGAGGTTTAAGATCAGTATGCACCATTTTGTGGTTCTTCATATTTCCAAGACGACTAAATGTTTTCCCACACGCTTGACTCTCGTAGAGTTTATCACTCATTAAGAAGATAATGAGGTATTGATTCTGCTGCTTGGGTCGAAACCCTTCCAGAGGTAAAGGCTAAGAGAAGGGATGATATTCTCTTATTGCTTGTTTAAAGCCGATTGAGGGGTGATAATGTTGTTCACGTATTTATGTGGAGTCGCCAGATAGTAGGTGACATGTTAGCTGACTGTTGTTGTTGTTGTTTTTCCATTTGTTGCTCTATTACTTCCTTGAGCCATTTGCGGGTCACATGCTGTTTTTTTAACTGGTAATAAGAACATAAGAACAAAGGTAACTGCAGAAGGCCTATTGGCCCATACGAGGCAGCTCCTATCTATAACCACCCAATCCCACTCATATACTTGTCCAACCCGCGCTTGAAACAATCGAGGGACCCCACCTCCACCACGTTATGCGGCAATCGGTTCCACAAATCAACAACCTTGTTACTGAACCAGTATTTACCCAAGTCTTTCCTCAATCTAAACTTATCCAATTTATACCCATTGTTTCGTGTTCTGTCTTGTGTTGATACTTTTAACACCCAATTAATATCCCCTTTGTTATGTCCATTCACCCACTTGTAAACCTCTATCATGTCACCCCTAACTCTTCGCCTTTCCAGTGAATGCACCTTAAGCTTTGTTAATCTTTCTTCATTTGAACGATTTCTAATTTGGGGAATTAACTTAGTCATCCTACGCTGGACACGTTCAAGTGAATTTATATCCATTCTATAATATGGCGACCAAAACTGAACTGCATAATCTAAATAGGGCCTAACTAGAGCAAGATATAGCTTGAGAACCACACCAGGTGTCTTGTTACTAACGTTGCGATTAATAAATCCAAGTGTCCGATTTGCCTTATTACGAACATTTATGCATTGATCCTTTTGTTTTAAATTCTTGCTAATCATAACTCCCAGATCCCTTTCGCAATTCGACTTCGCAATCTCAACACCATCTAGCTCGTATTTTGTAACCCTATCATCATTACCTAACCTCAGAACTTTACATTTATCAGCATTAAACTGCATCTGCCAATCCTTCGACCATTTCAAAACCCTATCTAGATCAACTTGAAGTGATAGTGAGTCCTCCTCCGAATTAATTTCCCTACCGATTTTCGTATCAATGGCAAATTTGCAAATGTTGCTACTCAAACCTGAATCTAAATCATTTATATATATTATAAACAACAGAGGTCCCAGGACAGAGCCCTGTGGTACTCCACTAACAACATTATCCCACTCTGACTTAACCCCATTTATACTAACTCTCTGTTTCCTTTGGAATAGCCATGCTCTAATCCAACTTAATATAGCACCCCCAATACCATGAGCTTCTATTTTTTTAATTAGTCTTTCATGTGGCACTGTATCAAAAGCTTTGCTAAAGTCAAGGTATACAACATCACAATCCTTACCACTATCAACTGCCTCAACTATGCTGGAATAAAAAGTTAGCAAATTTGTTAAACATAAACGGCCATTTGTAAAACCATGTTGCAACTCATTTATTAATTTATGTTTTTCTAGATGGAGACGAATTGTATTTGCAATTATTGATTCAAGTAACTTTCCCACAGTAGACGTTAGGCTAATTGGCCGATAGTTTGACGCAAGTGATCTATCTCCTTTCTTATATAATATGTTATATTATCATAGCAATATGGAAGTGGGAAAATGTTGTAAGTGGAGTGCCTCAAGGCTCTGTCCTGGGACCTCTGTTGTTTATAATATATATAAATGATTTAGATTCAGGTTTGAGTAGCAACATTTGCAAATTTGCCGATGATACGAAAATCGGTAGGGAAATTAATTCGGAGGAGGACTCACTATCACTTCAAGTTGATCTAGATAGGGTTTTGAAATGGTCAAAGGATTGGCAGATGCAGTTTAATGCTGATAAATGTAAAGTTCTGAGGTTAGGTAATGATGATAGAGTTACAAGATACGAGCTAGATGGTGTTGTGATTGCGAAGTCGGATTGCGAAAGGGATCTGGGAGTTATGATTAGTAAGAATTTAAAACAAAAGGATCAATGCATAAATGTTCGTAATAAGGCAAATCGGACACTTGGATTTATTAATCGCAGCGTTAGTAACAAGACACCTGGTGTGGTTCTCAAGCTATATCTTGCTCTAGTTAGGCCCCATTTAGATTATGCAGTTCAGTTTTGGTC